CTAGGATCTGCTGAGGTTAAAGTGCACGACTGGATTAAACAAAAGGCTGGCTGTAGAGGGGTGGAAGGAGAGAGAAACCTAGGAATTACCATATTCGAGCAGATCCAGGGCCCATCTAGTGCAGTAACCCATCTCTAAAAGTGCTAGCCACCAGGTGCTTCAAAGGATGGAACAGGGACCTCACTGCAGGTATATGTTAGATAATCTGCCCCCTACATTAGCGCTCATCAAAATCGCCAATAATTAGTCATTGGTTTAAAGCCTGTGGTGTAATCCCTTCTAGAACTGCTGTTATCACGCACAAGAGAAGAGGGAAAGTGGCACAGAGAAGGGATGGACTTGTGGTTAAGGACCCGGACTGGGACTAAAGAGCTCAGAATTTAATTCTTATCTCTGCCCACGCCTTCCCATGTGGTCTGGGGCAAGTCATTTGGTATCTATGTGCCGCCAGTCCCCCTGAGGGAAAGGGAGATGCTATTTTCTTGCCTTCCACGGGGGTTGAGAAGACACACTCCTTAAGGTTTGTGGAGCATAGTAATAGCCCTGTGAGTACTGCAATAGACAGTAGAGAGGCTGGAATACATGAAGATGGGCCACTCCTCAGTGACAGAGACAGAGCAGGGGAGGAAATGTCCATTTACTCTTAGAGAGACTGAGTTTGACATGCTGCCAGGAGCGATGGCCGAGTGGACATTAGTGATGCGAGACCAGAGAGAAAAGAGGCCAGGGCGGAAAGTTGTAAAGCTTAATCAGACTGTTAACAATTTGGGGCAGAGACTGTCTTTTCATTATATGTGAATGCTAGAAGACTTACTTGGCATTCCCCGAGTCCGGTCCAGGCCAGGGTTTGGACAGTGATCTCTGGATGCCAGCTTCTCCCTGGGTTGGCCCAGAGGGGGAGGGGGACTGTGTACCCCAGGCTCCGGTTTCTTCCTGGGGCTGGCTGCTGACTTCACCCTTAGGCCAGCCTGGGGACGGGGAAGGGCCAAGGAGGCCACCTGCCAGCACTCCCCAGACCCGGTGGAGGGGGGGGGGGTCACACAGGCCGGCCCAGGAACAGGGGGAGCCTCTGGGTGGTGGGCATGCAGCAGCTGGCAGCATTTCTCTGGGGCAGGCTGGGGTGTCGGGTGCTGCCCAGCAGATGCTTCTCACTGAGGCACTTGTTGTGCACTGTGGTCATTCCACAGTATAACTTTTCCTCCTACCAGGCCCCTCCCTTTCCATTTTATGAGAAAGAATCAAATTCCAGGCACATCCCATTGTCCTGGCATAACCAAACCCTGACCTTACTTTAAATTAGAATAAGAGGAAGCTGCATTCCACATTTGGTGGCCCTAGCTCTTATTATTTAGAAGGAGTTCTTGAACAAATGGACTCACAGACAGGCAGACAGGTGCACATTTCTAAAATAGATAGATAGATAGTGCTTGTCCATGTGGGGCCCTGACTGTTGGCTGGAGCCTTTAGGCTTATCATAATATCAATGATAATGAATAATAATGACTCATTTGAATAAAGGGGCTAGCTGATGTACAGGAGCATATGGGAAAATGATGAGCGAGAAGAAGGGGACCAAAGACAGAATCTTGAAGGAATCCAACAGTCTGAGAGAGTGGGGAGGATGAGATCCCCAGAAAGAGGAGGCCAAAGCAGCCATCGACGAAATCAGAAGAGCAATTAGGCACGAGAAAGACCAGTTCTTATTGGAGTGATGTCTCTGTGGGTGCTCCATTGTAGTTCTTGTAGGTGTTGGGTCATCCCTGCATCGCAAATTGAGTTTTTTCCAGCAGTCATTGGCTGGGCCATGCACATGCCATCGGTGTCTCTTGGTGTTCACATCTTAATGTGTCACATGCATGGTCTGACTCTTCTCAGTTCCTTGTCTACCGTTCACAGAACTCTTCTCTTCATGCTATATATAAAAAAATAAAATTAGTTAGCTGGTTGTTGCCTTAAATTTTTATATTTATTGCTATCTTCCATCATTTTTTAAAAAAAAGTTTTTCCTCAGTTTTCTCCTAGTTTGGCCTCCCCTACTTAGTTCTTAGTTAGTTATGCATAGTTGCTCCTCTTCTTCCTTGGCTCATGAAATGCCAAACCAAAAAGAAGAAAGAGGGGAGAAGTAGAAGATGAGAAAAACTCCATTGAGATGATGGGATCCTAGGGTTTCAAGAAATGCGACACTTGTTGCGAGCTCATGCCCAATTCAGACAGCCATTCCTCCTGTGTTCACTGCCTCAGTGAGACTCACAGCCCCCAAAAGTGCCCGCATTGCACTAATCTCACTTCCAGAGCCAGGCACGACAGGCAACTTCCCTCAAGATGATCTTTATGGAGAACTCCCTTCAGCCACCTCTGTGAACTCATCAGGGGGCACCACCTGACTTCCAAGGTCTTTAGGTAGTGGGCTAGGACTCCAGCCAACCAAACCACTTCCCACAAGCTTAAGAGATGTGAGGAGAGAAGGGAGCAGAGAGAAGGAAAGAGGTTAGAAGCAGAGGGAGGGAGGGGGAGGGATAAGACAGGAAGAAAACAAGGAAAGAGGTAATGGGGAAAGGGAAGGGAGGGAAACCAATGGGAAGCGCAGGAATGGGGAAAGGCTAGTGAGAGACAGGTGAGGAAGAAGGGGAAGGAGAAAGAGGGCTGGAGAGAAATAGAGAAGACTGTGAGAGGGAGCCAGTAGGTGGGAGGTAGAGAAGCCAGGGGCAGGTGGAGGAGCAGAACTGTCCCTGGGGGAGTTTGTTTCAAGCAATGAACAAGCTGTGTTTGTTTCAAGCTGTGTCCCCTCAGCCTCTTAGGAGTGTAGGACCTAAGGACCTTCTGCCTGGGACCTTCCCTGAATTATTTCCATTCCGGTGAGTGGGGCTGACCCTGTGGGGTGCAGACTATGTGTCTTCCCAGCTCCCTTCCTTCTGGGGGCCAGATACTGGGGAGATGGCAGCTGGCAACTTGGCTGACGGATTAGGTCTGTGTCTATGGCAGGCTCTGGCGCTAGCTACATGGTGTTTTGGGGTGTCAATCTCACACCTACTCCCTTCTGCCAAAGATACTGAAGGCTGGACCCTTAACCCGCCAATTCCTCCTGCCCCAATCCTCAGGTGCACAGGCCCTACGGCATGTCTGCCCAAAGTCCCACACAGCTGCTTTTACACAGAAAAGGAGGAGCTTTTCTTCTTCGTTCTCTGCGCTGTAGGGAGAGCACTCCCCTGAGATAGTGGTCTGGCTGTACCATTTTCCAGCTGCCTTGGTAGGTTCACTCTTATGCCAGTGAAAGGCTCTTTCCCAGAAGCCAGTGAGAAGCATTGTAAAAGCAGGGAATGTGTTCACAAAGGACCCGTCTCTTCAGGGCAACCAAGTGGAAGAATCCACATATTAGAATGCCCGTGGGGTTACTCTAAGGCCTAGGATAAGCGTCACACAGCAATTTGCTGGGACGGAGGCGGCCGTTACTATCTTGTGTCCAGTGAGTCAGGTCAAGCTCCCAGGAGAGTGTGAGCGTGTAATGCTGCCAGGGTCATAGAGCAAATCGCTGAAAAGTGACGTGGATCAATGCTGGTTTGGTTTTTTGAAAAACCCTTGGTGGATAAAAGCATTAGCTTCTTACAAGGCAGGACGGAGGACCAGCTCGGGGAGGTTTTGTGGCTAGCCAGTGACATCTGGTGTTCAAACAGGAGTGCTGCAAACGTGTTCATATTTCTGGAAGCAAATTTAGGGACTGGAGGAAACAGCAGGCACCATCTCTCTGGAGGCTGAAAGCCTCCACCCACAGAACAGGAGCCACAAGGACGACCTCTGAGAGTGAAGAGGTAAATCTCCAGGCCCATCCCATCCCTCGCCTGTTTGCTGAGACTTCTGGCCAGGCTCTAAGGGGTGTCAGTTGTGAGGATGGTGTTGTGGTGTGATAATGCTTCTGCCTGACATTGCATGGACTGTTGTCAGACTCAGCAGAGAGATCTCAGAGGGGTAACCATGTTAGTCTGTATCTAAAAAAAAGTAAAAAACGAATGGTCCTGTAGCACCTTAGAGATTAACAAAAATATATAAAGTATCATGAGCTTTTGTGGGCACCACCCACTGTGGCTGCGCATTGGGGTTCCCCAGTCTCCTGCAGCCCCCGAATGGCATGAACAGACTTCACCAGCCAGTAGAATACAGGTGGTTTATTGCTTCTCCATGATACAGCACAGCACAGATGTAATCTAGTTACAGGAACTGGGGGCTAAGAGGCCTCAGTGCCCCCCTTGAGATAGGGGAATCCCAGCCCCCTCCCCAGTTCCTTCTCCCCTGCTTTCCAGCCATGAACTAACTACCCCTCTCAAAGCCCTGCCCCCAGCCAGGGCAGCATTCCACCTCCCTTTGTTTCTCCCCATGGGGGGTTGGCTGGTTCAACCGGTATGGAGTCACCTTTGCATAATAAGGTTTTCCCTGCTGGGTCTTGCTCCAGACAGCAGAGGTCACCACAGCCCAGCAAGTACCCCCACTACGTCACACCCATGTCTTCAGATGTGTGGAGCAAAAGTCACAGAAACCCCAAAATTTAAAGCAGAAAAAGAAGCGGGATGGGGAGGGAAAAAAACCCCATGCTAAATGAGGATAATAGAGTGAGCTGTAAGTGTCTGATACTTAGCTTTTGATGTCATTTGCATGTTGAACATAACGGCCCATCCAGTTCATGGCTTTGTTCAGTGCCTGGGTGATGGTGTCAAACTTGCATATGAAGGCCAGTTCTACAGTCTCTCTCTGCAGTTTGTTTCTGAAATTACTTTGTAAAAGAATGGCTCCTTTTAAATCTACTTCCCACACCTATGGCTACATACCAATGCGTAGTGCCAGGATCCACACTGCAGTGTGCTATAGCACCAGGAATTGCACTCTTAACCTCTGAATGCAGGAGAAACAGGTACAGCGTGTCTACACGCTCTAAACCCCTGTTGCTATCACTTTAAGCTGGTAAGTTAGTTTGTAATTTTTTATGTCTCTCGAAATGCTTTTTGTCTCAGGTGCGGGATAAGAAACTCCTCAATGACCTGAATGGAGCGGTTGAAGATGCCAAGACAGCCCGGCTTTTTAACATCACCAGCTCGGCCCTCGCCACTTTCTGCATCATCCTCGTCTTCATCTTCCTGCGATACCCGCTCACTGACTACTAGAGCGAGGCCAGCGCAGCTGCCCAAATGCCTCAGTGCCGAATCTTCCTTCAGCAAGGACATGAAACAACTATCCATCCTTACTGCAAAAAAAAAAACAAATAAAAAATAAGCCCAGCCAAGCAGCCCCACCCCCACCCCTGACTGGTATTTGAACTTCTGTAGAAAAAGACATTACTTTTACATTTTTACAGAAAAAAATATTTATTTTTCATGATAAACAAACGTGTATGATGATGACAATTATGCAACACTTAGAACTAACCACTAGCCCATAGATGTGTCGCTAGATACGGCAGCCAGAATGGTGGCAGAGGAGAGAGCACTGTAACATTGCTGATCTACTGTTTAACATTACATTCAGCAGTCCAAGCACTGAGCTGTGGTCAAGATGGAAAACAGCCACTAGCCCTGTTGGGAGAGTTGAGCTCCAGATCTACTAGGAAGAATGCTCATGGATGTAGAGTTCGAGAGAGGGAGGGGAAAAAATGCCTATTACTGTGAGAGAAAACTGAGGAGTTAGATTAGAGCAGATTCAGGACATATCAGTTGAGTTCAGGCTGCTATCATGTCTCCCCTCTCTTTTCTCACCCCCCCCCCCCCCCCCCCTTTTATACAGTTAGTCACTGAATTTCATATGAAGGCCACGTTAGCTTATCACTCTCTGCCTTCAGAGTGCTGAATCTTAGAGAGTGGATAGTAGAGAATTCTGACGCCTCCAGATAAACTCCAAAGAATTAAAACAAAACAAAACAAAACCCTTTGTGGAATCTCCTACAAATGCAGAGAATGTAGGCAACCTGTGGAGCACTTGCATATATCCTGTATATCGACTCCTGTTGTATTTCTGTAACATGTCAATAAAGATACCTCTGACCATCCAATGCTTTTGTGCTTAATTTCACACCTTGCTATGGATGAGGGGTTCTCCCTTCTTTCCCCCTGGCTTTGGTCCCATATTAATCCAATGAGGGGTACAGAAAAGAATTAAAACTCCTATTGGACACTATTATCTGACTTTACAGCCATAATTCCCTACCTTTGCTATCTCCCTGGACAGGACGGTGTTAATGAGCAGCCTCATAACAAAGTTAAGAAAAGTTAACTAACAAGCAGGAAGCAGTTCCGCAGACAGTGGAATAGGGGACTGATACACAAGCAGAACCACAGTGGCAGAGACAGGAATGAGAACCAGCTGGGACAAGAATTACCACCTTGTATATTAGCAAAATATAGGGACTGGAGCTGGAGGGAGGGGGAAGGTGACAGGAGTTAGGGGAAATCTGGTAACTAAATCCCCTGACCAGGCACGTGTGATGTTCATCACCATTCCAGTGAGGCCATGCTGCACTGGAGTACACGGTTGGGAATGCATTGTTGTACCAGTGACGGTGATGGTCTGCTGAGAGTTTAACAAATGAGCTCCATTAAGAACATTCCACCTTGCTCTGATGGAAGTGTTACAGTCCCTGGATAAAATGTGCTTTCCATTGAAAATCATCCACCCCTCCAAAACCATCAGTTCTTCACGCACACACGTGCATGTGTCATGGAAGCTCCATTGAGTGGCACCTCTGTCTAGCAGCTGTTCCACCCAGCAGCAGCAGAGGCAAACCAGTGTCTTTCTGCCTCTGCTGGCAGTTGAGATGGCAGGTGAATAATCCTGTGAACCTGCACTGATTGGGTGAGTGGACAGTGAGTTCCTTGGGTGGGAATTGGGTCCTCTTTGGTTGCTGAGAACTATGAGATCCCTGAACTGAGACTTAAAATTGGGGTGAGGCAGAGAGATTAGCCCACACCTGCCTACTGCAGAGCTCTTCCTCCTTCCTCTGAAGTATCTGGTACCTCCCCCTGTCTGAGCCTGGATATTGGCCTAGATGGACTTTAGGGCTGATCCAATACAGAAACGCCTGTATGTTTCCCCTGCTTGCAGCCAGTCTCCCCTCGCCAGGGTGGAATTGGCATGGCGTGACAGAGGGGCTGCTCTGCACTGGCCTAACGTGGGTTAAACCCAGCTCTGGGAGAGGGCTGAAATTGTGAAGTCAGCAGCTGTGACAGGTAGTAGCCAATTAAGACCCAGTTGGGGTGGTCTGAATAAGGGCTCCTGGAGTGGTGCAGAGCACACTCTTGCTCTAGCTATGGAGCAGGAGCCACCTGGCAGACTAGAGAGGGTCCCTGACACAGAGAAGGGTTGGGGAAGGGCAGGCAGAGCTGTGGAGACAGGGCCAGGCAAACTCCTAGGCTGAGGCCTTGCTCTCAAGGCCTGAGGCTACTAGGGAGGCAGCAGGTCCACACCCCTTGCTTATGATGAGTGACCATTTCAGACTGCAGTTTACCCCTGAGGCAGGAGCTAGCTGCTGACTAGTTGGCCACTGAAGCAAAGTGGGTACAGAGGCCCGGGGTTCCCTGGGAGGGGGTCCCCAGAGTGTAGAGACACTACCACAGAGCAGTACTGCAAGGGAATGGCACCCCGAGTTGGGAAGGATGTGGGCCTGCAATAACTCGGGGATGAATACTAGAGGTGCTCTGAGGCTGAAGTGCTAATTCCCAAGGTGACCAGCAGGAGGTGCTGCAGTGGTGAGTCACAAACCCATTCCATGTGGGTTTCCCCAGGGTTCTTGTGGGGGACTCAGTACAGGCGTTCCTGGCGCCAGGCTGCCTTGCAGTACCAGCTCTTTGAATGTCAGACTGGGGTCATGCGCGGCTCGGGGGAGGCAGCCTTCAGGGCTCCCACTCAGTGCAGCCAGGGCTCAGTCCTGTTGTCTCTGTCTCATGCACTGGCTGCTGGAGGGGAGCCACATGAGAGAGCCTCTTGCACGGGGTGGACGATGCAGGAGCCGGGGCATTCCTTACCAGCAGCGGTCACAGCCACGTGGCTGTGTCCACGGGAGAGAGACGATTGTTTCCACAAGCAGAGCCAGCCTTAACATTCTAGCCACTTAAAAACAACAAATAGACCAGTAGCACCTTAGAGACTAACAAAACATGTAGCTGGTACTGTGAGCTTTTGTGGGCGCAACCCACTTCTTCAGATGACCGGAGTACACTCGGCTACCCCTCTGATTCTAGCCACTGTACATTTTACCAGTGCAAATTCAGCCCCCTGCCCATACATACACACTGATGATTCAAGCAGGAATCTGAAGGACCCCATGAGCCTCTGGATAGACACACAATGGCCAGGAGCAGGAAATCAAGGTACAACATGAATTCACGCATACATGCTAGGTGCTCAAGCCCCTACCAGGATGAATCTTTTTCTGCTAATTGTTCAGTAACATCAGCACCATGCCAACCCTGTGCTATTAAAACCTAAATGGCCAAACCAATAGACCATGAAAAGGTACTTCTCTGAAAACTTAATTAGACTTGCACCTTCATTAGTTTTCCTCTGCAAAAGTGCTTGGTTGTGCTAATAACAGTGTTGTGTGTAATTGCTCTCAAATGCATTCTGGTAGAATCCAGTACAGACCCACACGCAAGGGGGGTGCAAAGTAAACGTGAGGCTGTGTTGGTCCAGTCTCCCTCTCCAATGCTCAGCCCCCTAGGGGAAGTTTGAGGCTGATTTTTTTCCACTTCCTTCCGTAGGAGGGTACAAAATATATCAGAAGGACAGAACAGGTTGTGTAGGTGGGGGAGTGGCACTATATGTGAGAGAAAATTTAGAATCAAATGAAGTAAAAATCTTAAATGAATCAACCTGTTCCATAGAATTGCTATGGATACTAATTCCCTGCTCTAAGAAGAATATAACAGTAGGGATCTATTATCGACCACCTGACCAGGACAGTAATAGTGACTATGAAATGCTAAGGGGGATTAGGGAAGCTATCAAAATAAAGAACTCAATAATAGTGGGGGATTTAACTATCTCCATATTGACTGGGTACATATCACCTCAGGACAAGATACAGACACAAAATTTCTTGATACCTTAAATGACTGCTTTTTGGAGAAGCTGATACAGGAACCCACAAGGGGAGAGGCAATTCTCGATTTAGTCCTGAGTGGTGCACAAGATCTGGTCCAAGAGGTAACTATAACAGGACCGCTTGGAAATAGTGACCATGATATAACAATATTTAACATTCCTGTGGTAGGAAGAACACCTCAGCAGCCCAACACTGTGGCATTTAATTTCAAAAAGGGGGGCTATGCAAAACTGAGGAGGTTAGTTATACAGAAATTAAAAGGTAGAATGACTAAAGTAAAATCCCTGCAATTTTCATGGACACTTTTCAAAGACACCATAATGGAGGCCCAACTTAAATGTATACCCCAAAGTAAAAAACATAGCAGAAGAACAAAAAAAGAGCTACCAGGGCTTAACAACCATGTAAAAAAAGCTGCAAGAGGTAAAAAGACATCTTTTAAAAAGTGGAAATAAAATCCTAGTGAGGTAAATAGAAAGGAGTATAAACACTGCCAAATTAAGTGTAAAAATGTAATAAGAAAAGCCAAAAAGGAGTTTGAAGACCAGCTAGCCAAAAACTCAAAATGTAATAACAAAATGTTTTTAAGTACATCAGAAGCAGGAAGCCTGCTAAACAACCAGTGGGGCTCCTGGACGATCGAGATACAAAAGGAGCACTTAAAGACAATAAAGTCATTGCGGAGAAACTAAGTGAATTCTTTGCTTCAGTCTTCACGGCTAAGGATTCCCAACCCTGCCCGTCCTTTGTAGGTGACAAATCTGAGGACTTGTCACAGATTGAAGTGTCATTAGAGGAGGTTTTGGAATTAATTGATAAACTTAACAGTAACAAATCACCGGGACCAAATGGCATTCACCCAGGAGTTCTGAAAGAACTCAAATGTGAAATTGCGGAACTATTAACTATGGTTTGTAACCTATCCTTTAAATCAGCCTCTGTACCCAGTGACTGGACAATAGCTAATGAACGCCAATATTTAAAAAGGGCTCTAGAAGCGATCTCGGCAATTACAGACCAGTAAGTCTAACATCAGTACCGGGCAAATTAGTTGAAACAATAGTAAAAAACAAAATTGTCAGACACATAGAAGAACATAATTTGTTGGGCAAAAGTCAACATGGTTTCTGTAAAGGGAAATCATGTCTTACTAATCTATTAGAGTTCTTTGAAAGGGTCA